AAATAATAATAATTATTATATAATTATATTATAATATATATATATATATATATATACATTTATTTAATTTCTTTTATTTATAGTTAAATATTAATAGAAAAACCTTAAAGGTTAACCCTTTGTGTGCTATGGGTTGCATATATGCATCCAACAAAAGTAAAAGACGCAAATATATATATGCGTTTATAAATTTTTTAAAAACTTCCTTAACTCAAAATTTCTTTTTTTCTTTTAAAATATTTTATCAAAATAATTAAATATTACAAAAAAAAACATTATTCCACTGATAGAAAAATGCAAAAATGCTCAAAATCGGTCTTCGGTGCAATTGCAATCGTTTGACGAGAGCTCTACACATTCTTCAAAGGATCAAATATTTTTTTCTTTTCTCATTATAAATTTCATACGAACATTATTCTTCCAATTGTAATCATTTTTATTTTATTACATAATATTTTATTTTATTTTATTTTATTTTATTTTATTTATAAATGAACGCATTTATCATAACGAGAAAATAAGCGAATTTTCGTACATTCGAATGAAAAAAACAAGGAAGGGTAGAAACTATAAAAGGGGAAGTAATGATGGTAAAAAGGGGGGATGAGAGGGGTGGGGAGGGGGGACGAGTAACACTTCAAAAAGGGAACCCATTTACACATCCGGCAAATTAAAGGGAACATAAAACGCTATGAATACGTAATCGCAAGAAAAGCACGCATTAGATGTTGGGAAGCAACGCATACGTCTTTTTCTTTGACTACTTCAACTACGAGTAACCCCTTTTTTTTTTCTTGGTCTCTCTAACACACACACACACACACACACACGTATATATATATAACATGGGTTTTCATCATTCGAAGGGACCACCGAAAAACGACCGCGGGAATTTAGCGTGTAAAGGAAGTGCTGCTGGTGACCGAGGAACCCCTTTTTTCTGTCCTTTTTTTTTTTTGCTTCTTCATCTTCATCTTCATCTTCTTCTTCTTCTTCTTACTCTCGTTCTTTTTCATTCTCCCTCTCTCCCACTTCCCCTCCCCCCTCCCCCTCCTTTCGTATATAGGCCAACACACATTACATCGTTCCTACGTTGTTTAGGAAGACTGTACACAGTACTCAGTGTAAAAGAGAACAAGAAAAAAAGAGAAAGAATATAAAGAAAACCTCTGAGCAGCTTGACGTCGATGCCCATTCTTGCAGCTTGCTGGATATGTAGGCCATCTTCCGACACTATCTTCAGTAATCTATACATTTTTTTTTTCTATCTATTTATCTATCTATCTATCTCTTTCTTGTGAAATAATAACGTTTGAATAATACGTGCAGGTAAGTAACGTGATACTGATTGCGTTATACGAATTGGACTTCAGTTAATGTCTGATTATTATGCACGAGATAGAATAAAATAAATTTAATAATAAAGAATCACACACACACACAGACAGACAGACAGAATGGTACTTAAAATTTATGATAAATATCAATAAGATGATTAACACGTTGCAGTACACTTTTAATTTGACTATCGTACTTAGAAACACAAAGATCGAATGAACCTATTCATCATTTGCCGCAACGTGTGTTAATTTAATATAACTTATGTTAAGAATTATAATATATATATATATGTGTGTGTGCTGGTTCAATTTTTCGTCTCTAGGGATAAGACATAGGGATATTTTTTTAAAAATGTGCAATATACAAATTGTCATCAAGCTATTATAATATTATTTAATTATATATTAGTTATAACTTATATATAATAATAATATATATTATATAATATTTTATATATAATTATAAATAAAATAAAATTAAATTAAATTAAATTAAATTAAATTAAATTAAATTAAATAACATTAAATTAAATAGAACAAAATAAAATAAAATAAAATAAAATAAAATAAAATAAAATAAAATAATATAAAATAAAATAAAAATAAAATAAAATAAAAAAGAACAAAAATAATAATAATTTTTTAAATAATAATAATATAAATAATATACTTTATATATTATTATTTAATTTATTTTATTATATTATTATACATATAAATGCTCATCATTATATGTAATATAATTATAAATAATGAATTTTATATGAAAATTTATATTATTCAATAAATATTAATCAATTCAAGAGATGTGAAAAATTTATTTACTTTTTGTTTTATTTTAAAGAATTATTCGAAGAATTTTACAGTGCATTTAATATAATATGTAAATCATTACGTAATTTTAAGAAAAAAAAAAAAAAGAAAAAAAAAATGGGGACCTATTATGTAATTGGAAAGTATATTATTATCTACTAAAAATAGTAAATATTAAATGTCGTGTCCAATGACGTTTAAATTGAAATATCGTATATATATATATATATAGTAGTACATAAAAAAAAAAGAATAAAAAAATGGAAAGGTATACGATAAAAATTTGCAAATGAAATAAACCAAGATGAGATGTAAGACTCTCGTAAAAGTATTAAAAGAAATGTATAAAAAGGAATTGCGATTATAAAACGACGATATAAAACGAATAAGGAAATCGAATGTTAAAAAGAGATGAGAAACGAATAAAGATATAGAGAAAGAGAGAGAGAGAGAGAGAGAGAAAGGTGAAGGAAGAAGAAGAAGAAGAAGAAGAGGGGTGGGAGGAGGGCTCGACCAGGTGGCGCAAACCACCTGTCCTTTCGACGCGAGCAACCTGGTCTCTCTCTCTCTCTCTCTCTCTCCCTCTCTCTCTCTCTCTTTCTCTCTTCTCTTTCTGTGAAGTGTATCGAATTCTCTGAACTTGCTTTACTCCCTAAAAAGGACGAATTAAATTTCAAACTCGATTTCCCGCCAAGTTAAAATCGAATATCAATATATCAAGATTATCCTGGTCATGCACGATTAATCGGTAATTTGTAATTTATCTTTCACGTATTTTTCATAATAAACAAAAATGAAAAGAAAAAAAAAAAAAAGAAAAAAGAAAAAAAATAAGAAAAATAAATAAAGGGAGGATACATACGACGAAATGAGAAATGAGAAAAAATATTGAGAAAACAATAGAAAAAAAAAAAAAAACATGAAAAAAAATAATATAAAATTAAATACAATAAAATAAAATAGAATAGAATAAAATAGAATTAAATTATGTTAAATTAAATTAAATAAACAATAAAATAGAATAAAATAAAAGTAAATTAAGTTAAATTCAATTGAGTTAAATTAAATAAAATAAAATACAATAAAATAAAAAATAAAAGAAAAAATAAAAGAAAATAGAATATAATAAAATAAAATAGAATAAAATAAAATAAAATAAAATAAAATAAAATAAAATAAAATTAAATTGAATTAAATTAAACTAAAATCAAAATAAAATAAAATACAATTAAAAAATAAATTAAATAAAATATAATACAATAAAATGAAATTAAATTAAGCTAAATTAAATAAAATAGAATAAAATAAAATAAAATAAAATAAAATTAAGATTAAAATAAAATAACATACAATAAACTAAAATAAAATAAAATTAAGATTAAAATAAAATAACTAACAATAAAATAAAATAAAATAAAATTAAGTTAAATAAAATAAAAAATAAAATAAAAAATAAAATAAAATAAAAATAAAAATGCAATAAATTAAAAAAGATACAAACTGGACAATAATATTTTTATCATTAATATTTTACGTACGTACGAAATATAATATCATACATAAATATTATATATACTTCCTTCCGTAGTAAATAAGAATAATAGAATGAAATAAATAAAGAGTTAAAGTAAGACAGAGACAGAGGGAAGAGAGAGAAGAGAGAGAAAGAGAGAGAGAGAGGACAATTTCGGAAGTTCGCAACCATCGTAATACAACGAACGCAATATTTATAAGCTTCCTAATATAGGATCGAAGGAGTATGTGTATTCGTTGTAAAAATGTATGAGTTCTATATACATACATATACAAATACTAAACATTCTAAACGTGGTTTGTGTGCAGGGGCCAACGACCGTATCACACGCGCTCTTCTCTCTCTGTGTGTAGGCGGCTTTTGCACGCTAAGTTCCTGCTCTCTCTCTCTCTCTTCTTATATATCTTCTTTATATCTATATCTTTTTTTTTTTTTTTAACTTTTTTTCTTCGTCTTCTTCTTCTTGTTCTTCTTTCACTAAACGAACCAATCATAACTATGCGTGAGCCCGGAAATATATAAATGATCTTTCTTATATTTTTAATCTGACGATTACTTTCATAACTAAATTCATTCGTAGAAATATGTTCATCTGCATTATTATTTTATTATTATTATTAATATTAAATTATTGTAATAATATATATTATTATTATTATTATTATTATATATAGTTTCTAATATTTATATTTAAAAATGTAATAGTTATAATTTAATAATTTTATTATTATTTAATATAATAATAATAATAATTTAATTACTTAATATAATATTATTATTTTATGATTTAGTAATTACAATTATTATATTATATATAATATTATAATAATTATAATTTTTTAAGTAATAAGATATATAATA